CCAAAAGAAAGCACTCCAAAGCATGTGTTTTTAAATACAATTTTACCTTATCTAAGATCAGAACAGCCTTGGCTGGCTTTCCGGCTTTCCTGCTATTTGTTTTTTTTTTTAATATTCAGGTTTCGTTGTCGGTATTTTACCTTTTGATTTACCACCCTGAATAAGAGGAGAATGTAAATAATTTAAATTAATAAATGCAGAGTTTTGTTGCATCATAGGTTTGTATGAGAAAGCATGTTTCTGTTAAAAGCCTGCAGGTGCCATCCACAAGGGTCAATAAACTCTAACTGCGAGAAACTTGGAGGTCAATGTCAATGCAAACCGAATGTCATGGGGCGCTGTTGTGATAAATGCTCAGTCGGAAGCCATAGTTTTGGGTCTCAAGGTTGTCTTTGTAAGTACTGGTTGCCACTTGCTTTCAGTTGTGTTTGTGTGTGTGTGTGTGTGTGTGTGTGTGTGTTTTAAATTTTAAGCTATTTAAGAAAAACGACGTTTAAGACATGTGGGCAGACTTTTGTTTTCCTTGAACCTGGGAAACCCAAACTGAAATCTCCTGATGAATGTGAACACTCTGGGTTGTCTTAGGCAAGTCATTATTTCACATCAAACATTCCTCATCTGTAAAATGGGGATAAGGCTGACTGGTCTTGCATTGCCCTCTATGAGAATGGGTATGGACTGTTGATCATATGGTCAACAAAGAGCAAGAGACTTCTATCTATACAGAGATCGTGGTCATGTCACATTAAGGGCTTTATATTAAGATAACGCAACAATTTGTCATGTAACTGTCATCTCTGCTTCTTTTCCATCAAGCATGTGACTGCCATCCTCAAGGATCCGTGAGTGCTCTGTGTGACCAGGTGACAGGGCAGTGTTCATGCCGGCCAGAAACAGATGGCCGACGGTGCAGTCAATGCCTGGCTGGGTATTTTGGATTCCCCATTGTCGGCCTTGCCCTTGCAATGGCTTTGCGGAACTGTGTGACGCACAGACTGGAGCATGCTTGGACTGCAGAGGGTTTACAGCAGGAGCCAACTGTGAAAGGTATGGGTAGGTGGACACTGAGAAGATGCAAATTTAATGCACATCTTTAAGTGGCAGGGATAGAAAATAGATGGGGGTTTTGGTTGGGGGCAAATAATTTTTATGGGTGGACTTGATGGCCATAGGGGTGCAGACCAACTTCACATTCCCCAGCTTTTGTGCTGCCATTGTGCATGCACACATTTATTTTTTATGTGTAAATGCACACATATTTTTTATATTTATTTATTGAATTTATGTGCCGCCCTATACCCAGAGGTCTCAGGGCATTTCACAGAACAAGATCAACATATAAAACCACAATATGTATAATCAAAATCAAAACAGCAACCTAATAACAACTTCAAAAGAGCCACATTTTAAAAGGGCATAGGATTTCAATCAGATCAACCAAAGGCCTGGTTAAAAAGGAATGTTTTTGCCTGGTGCCTAAAGGTGTCTAATGAAGGCGCCAGGCAAAATTCCCTGGGGAGAGCATTCCACAGACGGGGAGCCACTGCAGAGAAGGCCCCGTTCTCGTGTTGCCACCCTCCGGATCTCTCAAGGAGGAGGCACACAAAGAAGGGCCTCAGAAGATGATCTCAGGCTCCGGGTGGGTTCATATGGAAAGAGGCGGTTCTTGGGGTATTGCAGTCCTGAGCCATTTAAGGCTTTATAGTTCAAAACCAGCACTTTGAATTGGGCCCAGAAACTAATTGGTAGCCAGTGCAGTTGGACCAGGATCGGTGTAATATGCTCAAACCATCTTGCTCCGGTGAGCAACCTGGCCGCTGAATTCTGCACTAGCTGAAGTTTCCGAACCGTCTTGAGGCAGCCCTACGTACAACGCATTGCAGTAATCTAACCATGAGGTTCCCAGAGCATAGACAATAGTAGTTACACTATCCCTGCCCAGATAGGGGCGTAGGTGAGCCACATGCTCACACATAGGCAGTGGGTCCACTCCATCAGTTACGTCAGTAATGCCACAGCCACAAAACGAGGAAAGGCAAACCGTTGCTGGGTTTTTTTATGGAATAGAAACCCTGCGTGCTGCTTTCAGGTTCAGAGGCCATGTGAATCGTGGCAAGAGAGGGCTGGTTGCAATCTTACCAGACCGTTGGCCACTCTGAGAAAAGAATGCTGGGCTAGCTTTGCCTTTCGGCAAAATCCAAAAGAGCTCTTCTTATGTTCTTGCCTTCTTCTGATGCCATTTTGAAATAGGTTCATAAGAACGTAAGAAGGGCGTGCTGGACCAAGCCAATGGGCCATGGAGTCCAGCATTCCTGTTTTCACCGTGGCCAACCAGATGCCTATGGTAAATCCACAAGCAGGATTCGAGCGCAAGGGAACTCTCCCATCCTGTGGTTTCCAGCAACTAGTATTCAGAAGCATTACTGCCTCAAACCTTGGAAGAAGATTATAGCCATGATGGCGAGGAGCCTTCAATAGCCTTATTCTCCATATTCACTGTTCTTTTTGGCAGATGTGTAGATGGTTATTATGGAAACCCTCTCAAAGGAGAGCCGTGCCGTCCATGCATGTGCCCAGACGCTCCAACAAGCAGTAGGTACTTTGCCCATTCCTGTTACCAAGATCCTTGGACTTTGCTATTAGTCTGCAACTGTCTTGTGGGCTATTCAGGTAGGAAACATGACATCTTCTATGAGTTTCACAATTTATGTTTTATGTTGTCAGAGACTGAGGAAAATCACAATCCATTCTAACTTTGTCTATTTGTCTGTATCCCTTTTTTAAAAAAAGTTTGCGTTGTGGGATATAGGGTAGGAGGACATGGTTTGACCCAAACTCCCAAAATATAGGCCATATGGGGAGGCCCGGTGGACCACAGGCTAAAGGTTCCCAAGTACTGATGGAGGAACTAAACAGATGCAATATTCAGTGAAGTTTCTCGGTTTGGGGGCAGTGACATTTAAGATTGCAGTCCTATACAACTCTTGCTGAACTCACTTCTGAGTTCAGCATAGGAATGCATGGTTAAGTTCCTTCCAAGTATGGTAGTGGAGAAACCATTTTTAAAAGTTTGAGAAACACTAGCACAAGTATTTCCAAATATTTATTATTTGTGTGTGTTTGTGGGTTTGTTTCATTTTAACAAAATTTAATATACCGCTTGATTGTTTAAAAAAGCCCCCTAAGCAAATTACAACAATATAAAACAAAATATTGTTTTTTTAAAAATTCGAAAGATGCTTGAAATCAGTAGTAGTCACCCCAAATTCACCATCAGATCACATGGCATGTCCATGGCTACAGCCTGCACCCCCAAAAACTAAACAATAAAACACATGTAACTTCTATATGTCTGAATAGAACTAATAGAACTATATTTATTTATCCATTTAACTCTTAACAATTAGGGTTCTTTATAATATTATGGAATCTGATGGTGTAATGTTATTTCTGGAAAGGTGAGCCGTGTCTGACTGTCACTAGCAATTGTGTGTGAATTTTGGTTTGTTAGGTGATCGGTGTGATGAATGCCCCCGGTGGGTTCTACAGGAATCCAAATGCAGTAGCCAGCCAGTGTCTTCCATGCTCCTGTAATAATAACATTGACGTGGCAGATCCAGACTCCTGCAACAAGGATACTGGGGAGTGTTTGAAATGCTTGCACAACACCCATGGACCAAGCTGCGAGTTCTGTAAACCAGGTTACTTTGGATCAGCACTCCTTCAAAACTGTAGAAGTAAGCAAACAACTTTTATAGATTACAAATCAAGGACTGAGCACATAAAGGAAAATAAAATAGGTGTGGCTACAATAAATTATGCACATTAATGAAATCATCATGGATTCTCCTTAGTAGCATGATCTATTCTGGCTACAATATTATTGCAAAAGGTGGAATGTTTGGGAGTAGAACAATTGATGGCAAGATGAAAGAAGGTTACACAGTTGGCTAAAGGTGTTCTAGGACCAATGCTGATAGGGAGAGTCAAAAGGCATGTACAGAGAATTCAGTTTTGAAAATACCGTAATTTTCGCTCCATAAGACGCAGTTTTTCTTCCTAAAAAATCTTATGGAGCGCATGCGTGGTCCCTGGAGCTGAATTGTCCAGGGGCGAAAAGCAGATCATGCTTTTCTTTTCTTTTTTGAAAGAGGGAAGTGGGTACTGAAACAAAGTCGCTGATCGGCAAGTGATCGGGAGGGAGATAAGGGACACTAGAAATAAAGGAGGCTGCCTGGGAGGGGAAGGTAAAGACAGCAAACTTGCAAGGAGAGAAGACAGGACTAAATCAATGAGAAGAGAAATTAGAAGAAAAGGAGGAGCAAAGAACTGCTCCAGCTAAGGTAAAGACACTAAGGCAAACAAGAGGGAAAGGAGTGTTGAAAAGAAGCAGCTGATCGTTAAGCGATTGGGAGGGAGATAAGGGATGCTAGCGATAAAGGAGGCTGCCGGGGGGGGAGGAGGTAAAAGCCCATGGATCCTCAGGATTTTTACATTGGATCACCCCAAATTCACCATCAGATCACATGGCATGTCCATGGCTACAGCCTGCACCCCCAAAAACACGCACCCACTGTTGCGTGGGGCCGCAATGGCGCAAAAACGTGGTTACAAAGCACGGATCCACATGGATCCTCAGGATTTTTGCATTGGGCTACCCCAAACTCACCGTCAAATCACATGTCTATGGCCACAGCATGAACCACAAAAATCATACATCCACTGTTTCGTTCAGAATATTTTTTTCTTGTTTTCCTCCTCTAAAAACTAGGTTCGTCTTATGGTCAGGTGCATCTTATGGAGCAAAAAATACGGTACCTGGTTTACACATGCACCTGTAAGCTTAAGACACCATCCCTAACCTACTCTGAAGTGACATTGCAGGATAGGCATTTTCATGCCAGTTTCTAATATAGTTCACAGAATTGTAGAGTTGGAAGGGACCCCAAGGGTCATCTAGTCCAAACCCCCCCCGGCAATACATGAATTCTTACTATAGCCATCCCTGGGTGGGCTCAAGCAACCAACATTCTGGTTAATAGCCAGATGCACTGACCCACAGCGCCACGGGAACAAATTTTTATGTTATCGAGGGAGCACTATTACAACGAAAGTGACAGATATATAAGAAATGCAGGACAGGAAGACTCCGAGATGAAGCCTGTTGACCTGGTTCATGCTTAGTTGACAGACTGGATAGTGATGACAACAAAGGACACAGAGGGCACCCTGGGAAAGAAAGTTTCAGAGAATTTCAGTCTTGGACACTGAAATATACTCGGAGTTGAGAGTGGATTTCCTGCTCTTTATTCAGCTCATAGTGGTGAGGAGGAATCAAAGTTCCCCCAAAGTATCTGCTTTATATACATTATCTACACAATGGGCTGCACGTGATTGTCTAATTCCGGAATTCTCCTGTAGGCCAATCAGGTTGTGGATTCACTTCCAGCTGGAGCTGGATTGGGTGGCTCCTGCGGACCAATCATACTGCTGCATTCTGAATCCTATTGTTCTAGGACCAATCAGCCTGCTGCATTTTGGATCCTATTCAACTCAGTACATAACACACATATTGCAGCTGAGGTGGTAATGAGAAAACCAAGGGTAAATGTTTGAGGCGCAGATGTAGATTCAGGACTGAGCAAGGGAAAGGGGTTTTGGTCAAGGACAGAAGATGCAGGAGTGCTATTTTGAGGCGTGAAGAGCAAACAGCAAAGGAACCAAAAACTGAACCCCAAGGAACTCCACTAGAAGGGGATGAAAGCAGAGGGGAACATGTCCCTGATGGAAGTAAAGAACAAAAAACTAGGCAGACAGGAAGAGAACAAGCTGAGAACAGAGTTCACGGCCTAGGACTGTCGTGTCCACAGGACCGCCTCTCCCGGTATGCCCCACAGAGGACCTTAAAGTCCATATATAGCAACACCCTAGTGGTCCCGGGCCCTAAGGAAGTTAGATTAGCCTCAACCAGAGCCAGGGCCTTTTCAACACTGGCTCCGGCCTGGTGGAACACTCTGTCTCATGAGACCAGGGCCCTGCAGGATCTGATTTCTTTCCGCAGGGCCTGTAAGACAGAGTTGTAACGCCTGGCCTTTGGCTTGGAGCCAATTTGATTCCCTCCCTCTCTTTCTTTTTTCCTTCCTCCTCCTGTGAAGAGGCTGCATTTTAATGTTTTAATGTTGTATTTTAATGTTGATTTTTAAGTTGTATTTTAATCAACTTGTTTTTATGATTGATTGTTAGCCACCCTGAGCCCGGTCTTGGCTGGGGAGGGCGGGGTATAAATAAAATTATTATTATTATTATTATTACAGATAAATTGATGTTTACAATGTAAGGTAACTTAAATTCCTGGTTGAACATTGCCTTTTTTTTTTTAAGGGATTTCCCCCCATAACTAACTGTTCTCTTTACAGAATGTGACTGCAACCCTTTGGGTGTGGACCCAGTGAAATGCCCACCTGGAAACGGCTTTTGCATGTGTGATCAGATGACGGGAATATGCCCTTGCTTGCCTCATGTGGTAGGGGCCAAGTGTGATCAGTGTGCTGCTGGCTACTGGAATATGATCCAAGGAACTGGATGTCGCACCTGTGACTGCAATCCAAGACATTCCCAGAACAACTTATGTGACCAGGCAAGGCTATTGAGCTGATTCTCCATTTATAAATTATAATGTCGCTAAATTTTAATGCCTGTCTTAAAGAGTTCCTCTTACCCACTGTTTCTCAAATAGTGGGCCAGGATAGGGTTACCAGACGTCCCCGTTTCCCAGGGACAGTCCCTGGATTTGCGAATAAATCCCCGGACAAATTCCAACCCCAGAATGTCCCCGGATTTCATCTAATGTCCCCGGGAAATGCAGCAGCGGCAGTCTCAGCAGCCCAGAGCAGTTGGCTCTGGCTGGCTTCAGGAGCTGCTCAGAAGTCCCCATATGATGGTAGTGCAGGGGCTCTTAAGATGGAGCTTCTGGGCTGCCTCCACCTTCCCTGACCCCAGCAACTAAGCTGTGAAGTGAGGCTTCATGCTGCCTATCGGAGCAGCTTCCCAACTGCTACTTGCGTGCAAGCAGGAGCGGGGCAGGGATGTCTCAGGTAGGCAACACTAATGTCTCACATCATATGTAACTGATATATAGAAAAGACTTTGCAACCTGAGAAAAGAGACAATGCACACACCGTATTTTTCGCCCCATAGGACGCACCGGCCCATAGGACGCACCTAGTTTTTTGGGGGGGAAATAAAGGGGGGGAAATTATTTTCCCCCCAGGTGCGGGGGAAGCCCGCACGAAGTCGCGCGGCTCTCCCATGGCTAGCGGAGGGCTGCGCGAAGCCCAAAGCTTGGGGCATGCTGAGCTCAGCACGCCCCAAGCTTCTGGGTGCCGGCAAGCTCTCCACTAGCCGTGGGAGAGCTGCGTCTCCCACGGCTAGCGGAGAGCTTCCTGAAGCCTGGAGAGTTAGAGGGGTCGGTGCGCACCGACCCCCCTCGCTCTCCAGGCTTCAGCAAAAGCCTGCATTCGCCCCATAGGACACACACACATTTCCCTTTCATTTTTGGAGGGGAAAAAGTGCGTCCTATAGGGCGAAAAATACGGTACTTTTGTAAACAAAGAAAATATTTTTTAAAAAATTTAAAAACCTGCCCTTTAAGACAGTATTCTGAAAACACACACATTCTGAAAAGAAACTATTCTTGCTTTGTTGATGGAAATGCAAAAATAAGAGCAAGTTTTTAGGTTTTTTTCAGAGGTAGAGATCAGAAAAAACCCCTGAAAAGAAGTGCTCACATACATATGAGTTGGCAGTTTAAGTAGCATGGGGGGGAAATTGCAAAGAAGGCAGGGAGTCCATTAAGCCCGTTTCTCACTGTAGACTCTTTTTGCAGCTCACAGGTCAATGTCCGTGTAAAGTAGGCTATACTGGAAGACGTTGCGACACATGCGATGAAAATTATTTTGGTGATTCTCAAATCCATTGTTTCTGTAAGTACTGTAGTAGCATGTAGCAGAAATCCTAACATTCTTTTAATTGAAAACAGAATATTTGTACCCCTCAGATTTGAACAATCATTGCATTGTTTTAGATGTTTATAGATGTCTTTATTTTATTTTTAATTGTATTATTTAGTTGTTTTGATATTTGCCTCCTTGGGCTCCTTTCGGAGGAAGTGCGAGATATAAATTATCATTATTATTAATGTCTAGCAACTCTTTTTTGGGGCAAGCGAATGAGTGGATTGTAATGCAAGCTGCAGATGAAATTGTTTACAGTGGTACCTCTGGTTACGTACTTAATTCATTCTGGAGGTCTGTTCTTAACCTGAAACTGTTCTTAACCTGAAGCACCACTTTAGCTAATGGGGCCTCCTGCTGCTGCTGCTGCTGCTGCCGCCGCGCCGCCGCCACACGATTTGTGTTCTCGTCCTGAAGCAAAGTTCTTAACCCGAGGTACTATTTCTGGGTTAGCGGAGTCTGTAACCTGAAGCGTATGTAACCCGAGGTACCACTGTATCTCAATTCCTTCCAGTCTTGCTTTCACATAGGGAATGGTCTCAGGGAACCTTCAGACTGGGGTACTATAATGGACTCCAGAAGGGACTGTCCATGAAAATCATTCAGAAATGACAACCAGTACAACATGCTTATACGTACTACGTATTTTTATTCCATCATGCTAGTTTTGTGTGATCTGTACTGGTGGATCTTTAAGGCCTTAAACAGCTTGAGACCTGGGAGAAGAGTCGGTGGAAGAAGACTGGAAAAAGTTCAAAGACTATTTACAGAAATACTGTAAAATTAATGAATGTTAGAAAGATGTTGGAATGAAGTTATATGGCTTTAGCAGAAATGTTATAAGGAATTAAGTATAAATAGATTAATAGAGTATTAAAGGGAAAAATAAGGTTAGAATGTGTTAAGATAATTATAGGATAGAAAACAGAGGAAGATGGAAAAGGATTGCTGAAACAATTAACAGAAGTGGAATACAAAAAGGGAGGTGTGAGGAGGTCGTGGAAACAAGTGAATGAAAGATAAGATAATGAAATTGTTTGATGTGTTTTAAATGGGTTTTGTTTTTGTTTTGTTAGTTTTATGTGTTAGTGTTTTGTAGTGTTTTTGTATTGTATTGTATTGTCTTTTTTATGTTTTTTTGGTAGTGTTGTGTTTAAACTGTTGGAAAATTAATAAATATTATTTATTTATTTTTTAAAAAGAAACCTGGGTACATTAAGGACTTCTTTCTTCCGTATACTTCTCTAACATATAACTTATACATTTCAATTGTGGGTATTTATTTTAAGGTCTAGATGAAATTGTTTTATTGTGTATTTTAATTATGCATATTTACCTTGGATCCTGAACGCCTTGGTACTCGGACATTTTGGCTCCTGAACACCACAAACCCGGAAGTGAGTGTTCCATTTTGCGAACGTTCTTTGGAACCCAAATGTCTGACAGGGCTGCAAGAGCCAATCATAAGCCACGACTTGGTTTCCAAACATTTTAGAAGTTGAAAGGACTTCTGGAATGGATTCCATTCGACTTCCAAGATATGACTGTATATTTTTTTGCAATCTGTTCTGCATGTACAAACTGCTTAGAAACCATCTTGGAAATTAAGTGGCATATAAATGTACTGGAATTATAATTGTAATAACTTCATTAGTCAATTATCAGCAGTTATAACATATTGTGCTTTCACCCCCCTTGCCAGCGTGTAAGTGTAGCAAGGACGGCACTCTGACACCCGGGTGTGATAAAGACACTGGAGCCTGCAACTGCCGTGTTGGGGTCACTGGAAGATTCTGTGACCAATGTGCTCGGGGCTACAACCAGGAATTTCCTTCCTGCCGCCGCTGCCACGTTTGTTTTGATCAGTGGGATAACGCCATTACTTCCCTGTCTCAGAAAATCCAAAAATTAATGAGGTTTGCTGCAACGCTGGGAGATAAGAGACAGACAATGCCTGGCTGTGATGTAGACCTCAAAGGCTATGAAGATACAATTTCTGAAATAGAAAGAATCCTAAAAAGCCCCACCCTGTTGCCAGAGGTGCTGTTGAGCATGAAGAAGG